ACTCAACACTATTTGTTCGCAAACGAAGCACTTAGAAGAGGGGGTTACATGCTTCTAGAGACTGGCAAATTTCACTTGTCTTTCAAGGTTAAATGCGCGTTTGTCACATGTACCGGCTTGTCCGAGAGCTATCATTCGTAAACATAACGTCTCAGAGTAAAAAATCATTTATTCTAATACTGGTACAATTCCTGGAAGAATCTTAATTATGGAAATTATTTCGCTAGTAAACAATACGGTTTAAATACACAGACTTTAGTCTGTGCACTTAAAGTGAAATCTTTAGCAGTGTATTGAAATTTGTGACGTTGGAAGCAGAACGTGGAGAGGTATTAATTCTTTTGGCAAAAATACAGGTTGCAAAAGCAGTTAGTTTAAGCAAGGACACGGTTAAAAATATAGTTAAGCAAATAGATAATATTGAATAAGGGAACTTTTGTCCTTCCATACAAAACATATTAAATGGAGCGAACTTATGGAGCGAAATGACATTCGAGAGTACGAGTCGAGAGACAATTTTTTATGGCAAATAAAACAATATCACGGACGAATTATCAATATTTGCGAAACGTATATTCCTTCATTCCATACTCATCAAAAATCTTGGTCTCATAGCAGTAACGAAGCAGTCAATTAGTCATAGTTCATGTTGGATGGGCAAATGTTGTCTTACCAAATGTTTCACTTATTTTTAAGTCTAAAATGAAGTCAGGTGATTTTCATGATGACAGGAACTTCTTAAACTACAAGAAACAGCTTCAGACCAACATTTATACCCAATATACCACTACGTAGTTTTACCTGATAACACACCGTACCAGAATGTTCATACAGTCTGAAAAATTTTCAAATGATATGTTAAAAGTCGATTTATAAAACATAATAAAAATGTATAAACCGAATTATACAACATATGAAGTTGATAAGATCATAGAACATGGTCACAGAATAATAAAGAATCGGAATGTCCACTCTCCATGAAAAATTAAGTACGCGCATCTCGTTCGCGCAGACATTCCGCCATGTTTTAAAGGGAACCAGTATTATTTATGTGGTGTGCATAGAAAAATTAACCCGGTTTAATTGACTTACGGCAATCATAGACATACTATACAATTATATTAACATTGTTAAATATAATATAAATATAATATAACTAAACATAAATATAAACAATTACCTAACCTCACAAATCATATGTCTGTGTTATGTGTTTCTTTCTAAAACATGGCGCGCGTGCTGAAAAACTTCAAAGGCGGCATCTGAGAGTGGGCATTCTGATTGTTTATTATTCTGTGACATAGTCACAATACTTTGAGATTACCACCTTATCACGTGGCTGTCGTAGCTCAGTGACTAGGTTTGATATATTTAAACGCCAGTTTTAGAGTTATCGTCTTAAGAGTGAAGAGATCTCTGTCTCAAAAATAGCAACCTTCGTATACAAAAGCAAAATACATTTTCATGGTAAAAAATTTGATATACATAATATAATATTGACAATTTTGCTCTTACCGGAAACAGTAAAAAAACGCAATAAATTTTAACAAAACGTGTAAAGTATCTTTAATAATTTTGTACTATTTATTCAACTTTCACAGTAGCATAGGTGTATGACTCTCATGATTTTCTTTTATTTCACTATGTTTCAAACAAACGTATATTTTATGTTTATCTTTCTTTTAAACTAGCAAAACATTTAATGCTTTATTCACATATTTAACACTTTAGTAACAGGCTTTCTTGTTTTGATATATATTAACTTTGGTGATATGGTCTTATATGGTGATTTGAAATTCTACAATTCAAAATATTATTATTAACATAATAAAGAACACCTAACAAAAAATACAAATTATAATAAAGGTGTATCTCAATACATCAAATCCAAAATAAACAAAATATTAAATAAAGGATAAAGCTGTATCTCAAAAAACGTGGAAAATGTTCAATCCTGGATGTAAAGTTTAATAATTAAAATTATTCAAGTGTAGAAAACTGAAATATAAAGACTGAAAGGTTTCTTCAAAATATATCTAAATACTGTTTTACAATTTACCAGTATCTAGAAGTTTAATTTATCTTACTTCAAATAGTTGAATCATAAAAAAAGCAAATTTGACTTTTCTAACAGATCTATTAGAATAGTAAATATTACTGGACTCTTTATTCCGAAAGTTTTTATTCAATGCTGTAAATATTAATTTAGCTATTTCAGTTTTTTGTAAGAAGTATTCTTCTAAATGTGCCATACCCCACTTTGAGCTTAAGCAACTCCCCTACATATACATGTGTTGAGTGTACACATATATGTAAACAGGACCCAAAGTTTAATGTCGACTCTGAATAACTAAGTTTAGAGGAGTAATAATAAACAAATCACGACTTTGTGGTTGGTCAGAATCTTTGAACCTACATGTTCGTCACCAAAGGCGTATCCACTCATAGCTGAGCTACCTAGACAGCAAGATTAAATATTACGTTTCGTTTTTATTTGAAGTGATTATTATCGTGGAAATCCTTTACTTAATTAATGTACTTTAAAATATAGAGAATACTTTACAATAAAAATCTTTAAATACTTTACTCACTTTACTAATTTATTATAGTGCGAAATATTCCACGTAGATTTTTTGATAAATACCTATATAAAATTAATATATACAAAAAATTTTCTTTCAGATTATTAAGTCCACATTCACATGTCGAAATTAAATATAAAATGACACATAATTTTAAAAAAGAAACTGTGTTCGAAAAGGTTTTTTCAAAGTCAACAAAACGTGTACAAAGTCAACCAATGACAAAAAATTGAAATAAAAAATTATCCAATTTCGTATTGGAAGTTGTAAATATTAAGCAATAAGCTATCATTCACAAGCGATAAGATAAGAAAACTTATACCACTAGACACATGGTAGCAGACTAGACTGGAAACCATAACTTATATAGGAAAAACAGGTGTGTAACAAAATAAGTGATAAATCAGGACAAAATCAAATGGGCAATAACCTCATTTGGGCCATATAAATTCTTCTGTACAAAAAATTATGTATGATGCTTCAAGGTAGCTTAGAACTGAGGTACACACCAAAAGCGTGGAGGCCCATAAGGATGGCTTTTATGTGGAAACCTGCCAAAACTAAACAATTAAAAGATAAGTCCTAGAGGTAAATAAGTCTGATGTCATTCGTACTAAAGACTGCTCGATAGGCACACTACGAATGGTTGATTGATTAAAAGTCCGATATATCAGTAACAGTATGCGTATCAGCAGGAACAGGACTCTCGAATGGAAACGACAATGCACCATCTTGTACAGATGACTATCTTGTACTTTTGGAAAATCAAAAGATGATGATGGGTGCATTTTATAAAAAGACTACACGAAATAAGTTGCAGATGGATAGACTACTTGCTAAAAAGCCGTTTGATATACGCAGTGTTACTGGGGGATATAGTGTCAGAACAGGTAGCCAGAGACAATTCACAGAGGGAGTAATACCTCATCTCTTGTGGATCTGGTTATTGATGAGCTGACAGCTTAACGCAGCAAACGGCAACTCATCAATGACCTGGTCATCTTACCCAACGGCAAATTTAATGTCACAGTCAGAATAGAATGCACCACGCTTTGACTGTAGTTACAGAATGGAATTCATATGTAGGCCTTAACATAAGCCACCAAAAGTCCAAAATAATGAAATTTACCAGTGTGAGGAATTTAAAGAGATTGCGTCTCCTAAGTCTAAATGGTACAAATCTAACTCTGCCTTTTTGAATAAATCAAACTGGAAAAAAATTAGGCCCGGTTTTAAAAAATTAGTTCGTTTTATTCATAGAAAAATTTTTTACGATATTTACGATTATTGAAAACTCTTAAAAGAAATTTATAAATTAGACAAATAGTCAAATATAAGGGGCTTCTTTATTTTTTTCCTCACAAGAATACTTAATCTTTAATTAAAAAAATCAAATTTGACTATGAATTAAAAGTTTTTGCTACGACAGTATGAATACTTATAAATTAAATAGATTTTCAAATATTTAATTTTTGCAAGAAAAGTAACATTTTTAAATCTGTAGTTCGGTTTGCCAAACTTTTAATTCGTAGTCAAATTTGATTTTTTAATTAAAAATTAAGTAATCGTCTGGGGAATAAAATAAATATGGCATTTTAATTATGTATTTGTCTAATTTATAAAATTCCTATTAAAGTTTTCAAAAACCGTATAAAGGATGACATTTTTGATATGAACAAAACGAACCAATTTTTTAAAGCCGGACCTGATTTTTTCTAGTTTGAATAAAGATTATTCAAGATTAGATGGTAGCGGAGTAACGTTTGACCAAAATATGAGACATCGAACTTACCGTTGTTATCGTTGTTAAAGATTGGTTGTTAAAGATTCACAAATTTGATTACAGCTAACCTTTAACAACTGCAAGAGTTGTTATCTACTAATTGGAAAGATTTGAATGAAACCTACTTGGAGAAATTGATTAGAAGCATGCCAAGAATTTCTCATAAAGTGATCAGATCTAAATAGAATACTAAATTCATTTTTTTTTATTTATTGGCCGAAGAATAACCTTTCACTATTAATAAAGTTCAGCATTTGTTAATTTAAATCTAAATCAATTATTAAATAATGTTTATGCTATAAGCTCGAAAAATTTAAAAAAATGCTGCGAGCCATAATGGTCTTAGATGGGTCAAATAAATGATTATGATACTAGATTGTTACAGGGAGGTATATGAGCGTAATATAGTCACGAAATAAAAGAAACTAAAGAGAATCCACGACTATGCTACAAAAACTATATTTCTTTTTATTTTCTCTTTTGATCTTAACTAATCTCATACTAAAAGAGTACTTTTATACTCTTGAATTTTTGTTACGTATTTAAAATTAATATCATTTCATTATTTCTAAACTTTTTCGTTTTTTTAAATTAATTTATTTTGTATTGTTGCATATAGATTTGTGTATAAGTATTTAATCTTCCGGCACCTTCCAGTTAAGTACTTTACCTGTTTCATATAATTCAGCTAATGCTTCTCCCACCCGTTTTTGTTCATCTAACTGTTTGTACTTTTTAAATAATTGAAGCGCTGCTCGTGCATCTTCTACGGAGTCATGAGTCTCCGACTGAATTTTCATGCCTAAAACAATATTGTATGCTTAATATTATTCTATATTAATAACACTTAACATTATAATTTAAACAGAAAACAATTATTGGAGTTAAAACGGTAAGATAGTTTACAATAAAAATTAATGGCAAAATCCCAGTGGTTCGGCTGTATACCATCGTTTAAAAAAAACATACAGAAGTTAAAACACTTCACGTTTGTATTTAGGTATAAAAAACATATAGTTCAAACTTTTAAAAGTGTCTCAAAGTTTATACAGTAGCAAACGTTTTCGATCTAATCAGATCATCTTCAGTGCCTTCTTATGTAATTGAAGCTAACACTAAATTTGTAGCTGTGACATCCATATATGGTTTTACATTATTCCAAATGTAAATTATACTGTGACTCGAGTCGATGACATTGGATCAAAAATTAATATTTGAGGAGGTACATACCTCCTTGCTCGGTTTGAACACGTGGTTCTTGTCAGTTAAAACGACACAGACCAACAGGCTGAGGTGACAGGAAATATAATTCAAGAAGACAGCTTAACATGACGAGGTATGGGTATGTTCAGAGACTAATGTAATTTTTAAAAATTATAAAATTTATTTTGTTGTAATAATACCTAATATCTCATTAATGAAAACCTTTAGTTAAAATTAAATTTGTTTAAATGATAATATTTATTTCCTTAAATCTGCAAATCTCTATTATTGAAAAACAAGTAAGTTATTAAATTAGTGGAAATAATGTTTGAGGTTGAATCTATGACATCATAAGTAGTATGAAAATTGATTAAGGTAGAAAATGAAAGGAAGTGATGTGGTACTATCCACATAATAGTGTAAGAAATGGTATAAAAAGTAGTATATACTAAAAGATTAAGTTGAAATCCAATGAAATTGAAGTTAAAAAATTTTTTGATTGGGTGATGGTGGTTGCCTAACAACGGTAAGAGACATGGGCCCTGATTCTATTTCATTTTGATGTCGAAATTTAAAAGCGACTACGCCATGACAGTCGCAATCGCTAGCGATTCTCATTCATTTCGATTTTAGTTAAAAGTGGGATATTTACTTTATCATTTGACACTGCTCAGAATTTGGGTTGGCCGTCTTGTTTATTAGCTGCACGCTGCACAACGCTTGTTAAATGTTTGTTTTGTTTACGTTACCCCTTTTGTTTCCTGTTTGAGTTGTTAAATTTTTAGTGTCCATTCTCAATTATTATATTTTGAATTGAAAGAAAATGGATGGAGGGGCTGTCGGTGATGTGGCACTAAATTGTCTGGGGACCAAAAAGAAATTATGGTGGCTTTTGACTTAGTGGTTATATTCTAATATATTTTTAAATTTACTGCAGCTTAGTAATACCCTAAACATTTTGGGTCTCCTACAGGCATAAACACCCTCCTCCAAATATGGTTCTAATATCCTATCAAATAATTTGCAGCTTGTTTATTAAGGCGGAATTGCTGCCTAAATTGAGCATCACTTAGTGAAAAAGGATTTTGAGTATCCCGGTAACATTCTTCTTATCCTCCGTTGTGAGCGTCGGATATCTATCCTCTATAATTCCTCCAAAACCAGCAAATTTCCATAGAACGCAGCCATGGCCTAAACTGAACCCAGAGATATGTAAGTACTCTAAGTACATATCTCTGACTGAACTTTCTACTATTATATTATTTATCTATGGACTGAACATAATCTCACTTCTCCCAGTCCAACCAGTCATGGCACATTAATTTCGACTCGAAATGAAATGTCAACCACTTTCTTGAAGTTGAAATTAATTTCGATAAATCGAAAATTAGTGACGTCCTTTGGTTAGTTCAGCTGAAATCCACTAGGCTCGCAAAGTCGCATTTCGACGTCGCCATATTAATTTCGACATGCTTTGAGTCGAAATTTCAATTAGAATCAGGGCCCTGGTGTGTAAATATATGAGAGATTAAAAATTTAATTAGTAAAATGAATAAGCCTAATAAAAAGTTTTATGAGATAATGTGATAACAGAATATGATATTCTAACTATTATTATATTGTAGTTTTTGTTAGTGTTAATATAGTATTACCCTACAGTGAAGTATGTTAAAATAAATATAAATGAAGCTGAGAAAGAATGAATGAAAATATTAATATAGGAAAGAGGAAATGTAAAATGTTGGTTGAATAAAATACAACAGCAAGAATAAATTGGATACTATGTTGTGAACGGCATGAACAAAGTTAGATAATTAAGTATGTAAATGGAAAACCAGACAAAATGATATGTGTGTAAATGTCTATTAGAGAAAAAATGAAATAATAGAGATTATATATGTTGAGTTAACTATGAGGGATTAGAACACTAATCACAACCAGAAGCGAAAGCTTTGTCGGAACCTTTGATGTTGGGAGGACAGAAATTCAGAGTGACAGTAGCAATGAACCTACATTTGATTACACGAAGAAAAGTAGTGAGGAAGTCGTTCAAAACTGTAGTAAATGATAGTTACACTGAGAAATGAAGTAATCATTTTTAAGTAATCTGTTTTGTATGAATTTTATTTTTTCTGTAAAATTTAATATAACTTATATATCAATTCTGAACTGATAATTAAAAAGTTGTTAAGTCAAAAATATCGATTTGTTTTTTTTTTAACAAACAAATTAACGTACTAAAAGTATTTTAGTACGTTAAAAAACCGATTGAATTTGAGAGTTAATTTTAAAATAGAGATGAAAAGCTTGATTTCTATTACTTTTTATCGTTTTTTTAAGGTTAATAAAACACTTCATCACTCAAAATCTATATTTTGACTCAAGACTTTTTTACTTATCAATACAGAATTATACTTTTGAAATTTCTATTAACTTTGTCTTAAGTTGCTGACTTTTTTGTTTCCTGTTGAGGAATTTCTTTGAATGTGATTATCTATTAACCTCCAACACCACGATATTTTCGCTGCGCGTAAAAACTCTGCAGCTGCGGCTAGAATGAATGTATACAAAATGACCTTAGATTTCTTTCTATGCATCTGAGGTCTCTGAAACTTCTGGTTGTATTGTAGTAAATTCAACTCGCCAGGACATATCAAATTTATGGTAGGAAAGGGTAAAAAGTTGTAATAAAACAGAATAATAAAAATTTATTGTAATTAATATACACGTATACCTCTTCGATTTCTCTTTCTGTGCATCTGAGGTCTCTGAAACTTCTGGTTGTACAGTACTACATTCAATTCGCCTGGATATATCACATTTGTAGTAGGGAGGGGTAAAAAATTGTAATAAAACACAATAATAATAATAGAAATTTATTGTAATTAATACTAATAATAATGTTTATTTAGGAAGCTTAGATTATAATATAGATTTACAAAAAATAAGCATACTTAACACTAAATAAATATGAAAAATCACTGAAATAGAGCTACCATAAAAGTAGCACCCCTTGTGTGTGATACTTAAAAAATATATGTGCAAAAAAGCAAATATTTAACAAATGTATTAATATAAACAGTTACATATGCGCACTTACAAAAATACATTCATTTTAATATAGCATGTGACATAAATATGTCAATAAATTCAAGAAATATTGTAGTTGGTAAACAAGGTATATTTCGATATTTTTATTTATTACTATGATCAATTAATCTGCTCTTCGCAGAATTGTGTTATTTTGTTTCCAATCCATTGTTTAGTTTTATACTGATATCTATGTTTTTTATAACTCTTAATTTGTTTTAAATTCTCCGGTAGACAATTGTATCATTTGGGCCCTATGTAGCCAACATATTTCTGGAGTATGGATTTATTACATTTGGATAAAATTGCATTATTCCTTATATATCTAGTTTGATGCGCATGATTGCTAATGTATAATAGTATCCTTTTTTATTTCATGTATGTGTATAAGGGCTTTGTAAGAGGACAATTTACGTACAGTTAAAAATTTATTCTCGTTGTATAACAGTTTGCTGTAATATCTTAATCTTTTTCATAAAAATCTAATTAAGCACTTCTGAATGTTTATAGAATGCAAGTAAATATTCCTTATTCCGCCCCATTCTAAAAGACCATTATAAGCATGGATAAACATAACCCGGATGGGAATAGAATAGAAATATATGCTTTATTGTCATTGAAAATTTTACAATTTTATGGACGAAGCTTACAAAGACTCAGAGGAAAAAGACAATAACAAATTGCATAATCAACCGTAGGAACTAATAAGTTTAAGCTACTTTGGGTAATGATGACCCACGGGTAAAGAACCATGGAACTGTACATTAAGATATTGTAATTTCTTAGTTATTAATTAAGAAACTCTTCTACTGAATAAAATGGTCTTTCAAATAGATAGGCTTTTATCATTTAAAGTATTTTAAGTATTTAAAATCATGAGACTTTAAGTTATCCCAAAGCTTTTTAACACCATTCATTGTTACAATCCAGCACTTTTTTGATCGCGAACGACATGTTACATCTTTTCCTGTTTTATCTAATATTTTCAGTTTATGTACCAAATCTATCATAGAATCTAGGTAATTGATCTGAAAATCAGTTCCCTCAAATACATTTTTAAATTTGTTAGGATTATTGTTATCAGTAGAATTTAAAATATCAAACAAATTATTAAATTTTTCAATAATTTCTATTGTTCCCAATGCATCTGATGGAAGAATACCAAGAGAAATATATGTATACATAGAACTTGCAACAGTGTTACTTAAAATTTGAGATGCTAGTTTTACTCGCATTTTTTCAAAAGATGTAGGATATATATGGGAGTGTGTTAGTTTTGGTGCACACTTATAGAACTGCTTTTTATCTTCATGATAAAAAGTTTCTATAAATGACCAAGATGTTTTTTTATCATCAAAATAAAAAACATTATTAATTAAGTTATTTCTAGTGGCTTTAATTAAATGACATGGATCAAATATATAAATAATTTTTTGTCCATTGACATCAAATTCTGAGTTAGTTGGAGAAATCCCGAGTAATTTACTCAATTTTAGAAAATTCGTTCCCATATCAGTAACAAGACAATTCACATATAAACCTGATTGAAATAGTTTAGAAATACATTCTTTTATAATAGGAAGAAGATGATTTGCTTCAAAGGTAGTGTTTACAAAGAAATATGCTAGTTGTTGTTTCCAATTTGAATATAAGCCTCGAACCATTATCACAAGTACATTTTGTGCAATTATTGATTCCTTTTTCCCATTTCCTATATCATATAGACCAACAATCTCATCACGACCTGTATCAAAAAATAAATTACTTTTAATAGACATTTCATCAATACAAATACTACAGTGCTTGTCCTGATCTAACATTGTGTTCACTTTTAACTTTAGGGCATCAAATATTTGGTCATTATTCAAACCAGGTTTACAGACCAAATTTTCAGTAATTTTTTGAAGACTTCGTTTTGAGGGCAAATACAATATTCTTTCCATAAAAGCATACGCTCTTGGGCCCAAAAAATATAGTGTTAATGCAAATTGTTTATATTCATCAGAATACCTTCTACTTTTTGGACATTTAGTTTTTAAAATTGCTTGAGCTTTCACTATTTGTGCTAGGGATTTGTTTAAAAATTTGTCACACATTTGAAAAATTTTTTTAAAGATTTATTGTCTTCCTTCTGTTTGGAAGACGCATATGCTTTCTTTGCACTTGCACGCAATTTTTTTATTTTCAATCTAAGTTTCCTTTTTCTTGGTGTACCTCCCGACAACTTGGAGGGGGTTTGTGTTGCAGCTGTGAAAAATGGAGCTGGAGTATGGGGCCTAGGTGGGCTAGACACTTCCTGCCTATTAACATCTGAAATATAAAAATATATTTAATAACCATAAACATATAAATGTTCAAAGTAGATATGTTAATGCTTATTAGTGATTAGTTGAATGCATAATACAGTTGTAGCAATAAATAAAATTACCTGTTACCAGAAACTCTTCCATCAAAGTATCAGGTACAGTATTATGGTTTTTATCAGTTGGACTATTAATTACTTCCTGTACATTATAGGTTTCAGTGGTACCTAAAACCACGACATAAATATTACTCAGTATGTAACCATAAGATATATTATGTTCTTAATAAGGCTGATAAAAGATCATTAAATTTCACAATTCCAGATCTTGTTTATATTATGAAAAACAACAAACAACTTTGTATATAGTTGTAAGTAGATACTGATTTTTATATGACTTTTATAATAAAGCACTATAATTGTGAATAAATAAAAAGTATCTACCTTCCAGCCTTATGACTTTCTTTAATGGTTCGTCTGTGTGTTTTGAATATTGGCTGTGTGAGAAAATCGTTGGATGTGCTTGTTGAAATAAATACTTCCGTGTTTCCTTTGTACATGTACACCGGTTCAAAATGTTTCTCGCACATTCTATAATTAGTATGCAATTCAGCATACTTGGAAAGCAGATCATACCTATTGGCCGCTTTCAGCCATAATTCAGCTCTAAAAAAAAGTGTATTTAACTAAAATATAAACATTCAGACAACATTTGTAATACGTTTGAATTTAAAATTTAATTTGTTTACCTGCTACGATCAGTCGGTATTGAAAAGAGACTAATTCCTTCCCCAGTTTTCGATGGGCACCCACGAACAACACAATAAAATCCTCCCTTTCGTGCAGCCATCACAATAAGTTTATTACACAAATATATTAAATTAACTAACTAACTAAATAACTAACTAAATAACTTCTCAATACAATACAATAACACTTCTCAATATATAAACAAACAAGGCATCAACACTTGTCAACACTACTAACACTATGGCCGATTTCGCACATGCGCAAAGAAATTTGGATTGCGAAAAAGCCCTCCGTTTCGCTTCTTGTTGTGATTAGTATTCTGTGGTGAGAGTATTAGATTGACTGTTTATCTGAGTTGGTTAAGTGAAATGTGTAGTATAGGTGGTAATGGGGTCCACAGACTGAAAGTGTCAAATGGATGTGTGAAGATGAATGATGGAGTTTAATTTTAGTGATGAAGTTTAAGTTTAAAGATTAATGATGAATTATAATGGCGAAGAACAGTACAAAGACAAGTAAGGTGACCCCAAGAAGTAAGAGACATGAGGAAAGAATATGTGAAGAAGTGAGTCATAAAAGAACTGGCAGGAGGACGAGAAATAAGAAACTGCCATGGGATAAGATGGTGAAAGAGGAAGGGGTATGATGAATAGAAAGAAGGAAAATGAGGGGGTAGACAGATTGAGGTATGGTATGTGTTAATGGGTGATTAGTAAGGAAGTTATAAAATGTTAGATGCTAGTGGGGTGGTTGGGAAAAAGGAAAATAGAAGCAAAATGAAAAAAGATGAAATTTAAAGGCAATTATTGGAATGTTGATTTGAATTAAGGGAATAGTTGTCAGTGTATGGGAGTAAAAGGTCGATTTAGGGTAGTTTGGCGTAGCCAAAGACAGCTTAACATGACCATACCTGGTCATGTTAAGCTGTCTTCTTGAATTATATTTCCTGTCACCTCGGCCAGTTCGTCCGTGTCGTTTTAACTGACAAGAACCACGTGTTCAAACCGAGCAAGGAGACATGTAGCTCCTCGAGTAATAATTTTTGATGCAATGTCATCGACCTAGAGTCACAGTATAATTTAAATTTGGAATAATGTACAACCATATATGGATATACCATATAGCTTCAATTACATAAGAAGGCACTGAAGATGATCTGATTAGATCAAAAACGTTATGCTACTGTATAAATTTTGACACTTTTTAAAAGTTTTAACTATATGTTTTTTATATCTAAATACAAATGTGAAGTGTTTTAACTTCTGTATGTTTTTTTATAGTTTACAATAATTTCCTCTGCCATCGATTATGTATAATTATATGTTCCGAAAGATTTCCGCGGTTGGTACAATGAAACCTAAAGCTAAGATTAATGTTATTATGGGAATTAGTATTAAATTCAACAGTCTTCCGGTTGAACCGCGTCGATTATCATTGCGCCGAGCTTTCGACATCCTCTTCGATGTCTTCTTCAGGGCGTCCGAGGTCTCAGTCTCCCGAGCCCCCAGACATTACTAACCTGATCACTAACCAATGCATTACTGTAATAAAAAATAAATGAATAAAATAAAGTTTTTGTTCAGAAATGAATTACTATTAATTAAATTAAAAATTTAAATGTATGTTAAAATATGAGTTTGATATGAACGTAGTGATCCTGCAGTGAGATCTTGTCCTCTATGAAGAAGTATTTATAAAAATACTTACTATAAATATTTTCTTACAATACATAATTAAATAAATTTTAAATAACATTACATAGCATTAAATTGTGAGTGTGATTAGATAGCTAATGAAAATACAAGAAGTATTGTTAATTAAATTTTACTTACCTAGAAAATGCCATGCCAGAAATCTTAAAGATACCATTCTATGATGCGGTAGATGAAATAATTGCACAGTATCCACTACTTGCTCTGGGCGAACTACTAAATTAATTACCCTAAAATAACGAGATGTTAAGATTATGCAATAAAAAACAGTAGACGTATTAAAAGTAAACACAAAATAAAGAGACACAACAAACTGTTTAATATGAATTCCAGAAATATGCCGTAATCCAAGATTTGATCAACAAAAGTTTGTTCTGTAAACCTTATTTATCCATGTAAAAAATACGTTTATGACATGCTTTCTGTTATGGCCGGTTTCGTTAGTGAGCTGTCAGGCACACTTCGAACTGTACATATTAAAAATCTGATTCTTTAAGCGCCAGCATCTCGCTTAATCAGCAAGTACAGTTAGGAATTTTAATTTAAAATGCATGTACTATAAAATCCAAAGAGTCTGTTGCTTTAAATTGAAAGTTACGAGCGAAATCGAGTCAGTCGATGGATGAGTAGTACTATAAGAAACGAGAAAATACGTTCGGTAAGCTCATTTATGGATACCTAGTGAAAGGAGTTAATGTTGCAGTTTCGCAACTGTAAATAAACATGTGTAAATGTACTTTTAAATACTTTAAGACTTTTTAATAGTTTCTATTCTCCTCGTATATTTTAAAACCAGATTTGCGTGTAAGTGACACAGCCGTTTTAAGGGCTAAAGATTGCAAGGCGGGCCATCTGCCAAATATCACCACATGTGTGTGGTACCTAAGATAGGGGATGCATTTCAAACACAAAAAGAGTCGAAAATTATCTCTCGAACGATGAACATGTGTATGTAGAAGAGTACCTGACTCCTTATCGGTCTTTTGACCAAAAAAGACGAAAATGTGCATCAAAAACTTGTGTAGTTGAAGTCGGCCGCTGAAGGCGTAATTTGCGATAGCGTTGGAGCTATCTTTTTCATGGGGTAAGGAAAAATACACCATTTATATACGATTTGCTGCATATATCAAGTACGTGCACTTGATATATTTATTTGATATTTGTTGGAACTTCATCGCATTTGTGCCGCGACCGCAATTGAACATTGTCAATTGGACATTTTACATTTGTTTCGTGGTTTATGTACTGTATTGTAAATTTTTGTATTTTGTTTTGTAAACACCGATTTATTTTATGCGTGGTTTGTATTAATAATTGTATTGTTTGTATGTTTTTATACCATTGATATATAGGTATACAGTAGAACCCCGTTTAACCGAACTAATGGGGGCAGAGATGTTTCGGATAATCAACTTTTTCGGTTAAGCCATGGTTATGGAGTTTGAAATATTTTCTAGCCAAATTAAACAATTTACACACGTTATTTCAATGTAAAAACCTGTATTAAATAAGTTACATGTATATACATACATGTATGTACAATACTGCAGCTGCATTTTAAAACAAAAGTGGAAACAGTATTTAGTTTAATTTAAAATAATCAAACATCGATTTTTGCGTTTTATTTGTACATCGTTTCCGAGCAGCCTTATCTTGCCATCTCTTCATAAGCAACACATCAGCGGGAGTGGCATCAGATGATTGCTCCACAAATCGAAGGGCCACCTACAGTAAAAAAATGTTAGAAAATTGGTAACACCTAAAATTAGAACATTTTAAAAAGTTTGGATGTGCTGAAAATAATCTTACCTTAAGTGCATTGAATGCGTCTTCAGCTGATACTCGGCTGAAGTCACCGTGGGTCGTCTCTGCATTAATGTCGTCTGCATCAGGCGCTGCCTGCTGCTCCGTGACCATATCCACAATTTCTTGGTCGGTAAGCTCAAGTTCAGAATCGTCTGCCTCTAACCAGTTCAAAATTTGGTCTTCTTCAATTTTTTCACAACCTGGCACTTTATTCAGTAGCTCTGAGAGATTATCGAAATCCTCGTCTTCCCATTGATCATTTGAAGTTGAAAGGCCATCGAAGAGTTTGTTCCAGGCTTTTTTTAGTGTGCTAGATTTAACCTTGTCCCACGCCTGAGCACACCAGTACACCACATCTTTCATATTCACGGTTTTCAAGCACTCTGTAAGATCCTTATTTCCGTGTTCACTTTCATGTAAGATGTGTCTCAGGAGGCATCCTCTGTAGTGGCGTTTAAAAGTCTCGATGACGCCCTGGTCCATTGGTTGGATGAGACTGGTGACGTTTGGTGGTAGAAATTGCACTTTAATGTCACCATCTTGTAAATTCCCAGGGTGACATGGGGCATTGTCTACAAGCAATATAGCTTTGAGTGGAAGCTCTTTCTCTGACAAAAATTTTTTTACTTTTGGAACAAACTGTTTGTAGAACCAATCTCCAAACAAATCTGATGTCATCCACGCACTTTTCTGTGCTCGATAAAAAACTGGCATCGCGATAGGAGCAATGTTTTTCAGAGCTCTAGGTCTCTCAGCTTTTCCTATACACATTAGAGGAAGTCTGAATGATCCGGCCGCATTTGCTGTCGTAAGAATTGATATTCTCTGTTTTTGCATTTTGTGCCCTGGTGCGGAAGTTTCTTTAACACAAGCTAACGAAGACTTCGGTAACATTTTAAAATTCAAACCGGTTTCATCGGCATTAAATATTTGGTCGTATGTATAGCCTTCAATGATTTCCTCAAATTCTGACTTGAACACGTCTACTGCATCATGATCAGCTGACATTTTCTCACCACATAAGATCAATTGTCGAATTCCGTACCGGTTCTTAAACCTATCTAGCCATCCACTGCTTGCAACAAAGTTTTTCCCATCGTCTCCTAAAAGTTGAGCTAACATCTTGGCTTTTTCTTGAAGCACTGGTCCTGATAAAGGCACACCTTTTTCTCTTTGTTGTGTGAACCACAAAAACAAAGCTTCATTGACTTTTTCAAAGTCTGAAGTTTTCATGGTTTTGCGGTTGGGGATTTTAGTTGAATGTTCAGTAAGTTTCTCTTTATTCTTCATCCAGTCACTTACAGTAGAAACACCGACATTGTATTCCGCTGCTATACATCGTAATAAAGCACCGTTTTCAACGCGCCTAACGGCTTCCAGTTTATCGGCTATGTTAATAACGACACGTTTTCTTTTACCGGACATTGTTTTGAAAACTGCCCTAAAACCACCTTATGAGAATCTGTAAAGTTTAACAAATTCAAGGTTCACACTCAACACTAAAAACAACCTAACTGTGTTAAAATAAAACACTGTAAGATTAAATTACTAAAAGCTTAAGAACTGAGGAGAATTTATACTTCCACAAACTCACTCGTTGAATACAATAGCACAACTGAAATGACAATGACGACGTTGCGATGAGTCAAACCGGGTAGGAGGGAGGAGGAGTAACTGCGGAAACACTTGCGAGCCACGCGCGGTTGAGGATCTCTCGAAGTGTGGCCACCCACAGCGCATAGTTTCGGTTTAACAGGGGCGGCGTTAATTAATTTAGCTGCTTTTTTTTTAATTTCGCATCGTTTCGCTTTTTTTTAAATTTCGCAATCGTTTCGGTTAACCCGAGTTTCGGTTGACCGAAGTTCGGTTAAACGGGGTTCTACTGTATATCCATATTTTTATGTTTTTGTTGTAATATTATTAATTTGTTTTTTATCTTTAATGTATAGTATGTTTGTGGCTGTGGTAGGTTTTGTCTTTTGTTTTGTCAGTGGTTTTTTTTATAGAATCGTCATTTTTGATTTGGTCTGTTTATGGTTGTCTTTCGGTGTGTCTGTTGGTGTTTCATGGTAGCTGATAGTTAAGTTTGTATATTCTTCTTTAATTATAATGGTATATGGTTATGTATATTTATGTTTAATTTTACACCTTTTTAAAATAGAGTTTTATACAGTCCACTGGTTTTGATTTCTTTTCTTTAGTTAAATATATATACCCAATTCGAAAGGGGGAAACCAGCGAGTTCTGGATTGAACAGAATATCTTCTCTCCCCTTCAGGATGATCTCAATTGTTATATTGAGGTCATCGTATGTGCAGAACGCAACAGTTAAGGCGGTATAAAATTAGAAATGTTCTCCAGTGGGGAAGTGTAAAACATTGGCTTAAGTGGGTTTTAGTGAGTCTGATTGATTTTTGTAGATATGTCTCTGGGAGGTTGTGTATAATTGTAATTTTGATATGCTTCATTAACGATATAGACATCTGGCATTAATCAATTAACAATTGATCAACCCCCTCCCTTCAGTACAAAAAAATCTTTAATTTTAAATTTACTTTCTTTTATATCATTTACATAGTTTACTATGTCTCTGAACAATGTGTCATATTATTTCGGGACAGAGTGGATCAAGTCCAGTTGACTAGTAAGAGATTGTGCTGTGTATTTGATTAAAAATGGATTCCATCGACGATATTAGTAACTTATCTACATCATCATCTGCTAATTATATACCTCCAGAACAACACTCGTCGGCAGAATCGGAATTAGCCAAATTTGATCAACTGTCCTTAAAAATAGCTGCAGCAACTGAACCTGAGACATCCGATTCACTTATTGTTGAGCAAAATGTTCATCTAGCAAAAGCAAAACAAGCTCGAGATGTACTAAAATCGTACAGTGATGACGTATCAGATGAACACTATGTTGCTACTTTTGACCTCCAAAAGCACTTCTATACCCGAAATTGTCTAGATCCATTGCATATTACAAAAGAAATATGTATGTATTTGAAAAACGGCTTTATGTATGTGTGGGACGAAGCAGATGGTGGTAGAGGATCTCAGGAAATATCTTCAATATTGACCACGCATCTGAGAAAACATACCAAAAATCATAACCACGTTTTTTTAACTCTCTATTCAGATTCATGTACAGGACAAAACAGAAATTTTAAAGTGACTGCCACGTTACTAAATCTTGTTCAAGATCCTTACATAAACATAAGAACGATAGATCACAAATTTCTTGTATCCAGCCACTCCTTTTTGCCAAATGACCAATATTTTGGGGTTATTGAAAAGGCTGCCAGAAAATCCTTCTCACATCTTTGGGCCAGACGACTGGATTGATGTAATAAAATCTTCAAAATTGGCAATGCCTTTTGAAGTAACTAACATAAAAACGAGCGACATTGTGCCGACAAAGAACATAGAAGATGTGCTTGTAAATCGAAAAAAAGGTAGTGATGGCGGATCCGTGAAGGTGTTAGAAATGAGATGGATGAGGTACGAGAGAGAAGATCCTTGGATTTTGAAGTACAAACCTACGCTGAATTTTCCGTTTTTTACTATCTCTATAGCCAAAACAAATGTCTCAAAATTCATTGGTAATCAAAGTCATCTGTACTCCACACCTGAACTCATGACAGAAGCAAAGAAAAAGGACATGTTGTCTCTTCTCCCATATCTGCTACCAGTCACACACTATCATTTTAAAAATCTCTGCATCAACACAGAAATCCGTTCACGAATCCAGCAACATGGTGAAGAAGACAACATAGAGATCATGAACTGATCTATGATGATTAAAACTAATGCCACTTAAGCTGTGAGAGTATTATTGAACATTGTTGTAATAAGTTTTTTATTTTTTATTATTTTTTGTAACTAAAATTCCAGTTTTGTCATACTTCGCTTTTAATCCATTTTTCCACCAAATATTTCAGAGTTATAATGGATCAAGTCCAATTTTTTTCAAGAGTCTCCAATTATTTCTAAAAAAGTTATTTATTTAATATTACACACAGTTTAATTATTTAAACTACATATTACATAAGAGGTTTTCACTTAGATTCGATTCGTTGGTGTATTATGTAATAGTGGAGAACTTGTTAACTTTGACTCTAAATATCTCTGACTTATGTATTATGGACATGATCCACTATGGTTCTGAACGCCTCATATGTATGTCGCTAGATAATTTAGCCATCCATGATTTTTTTTTCATATTAACTCTGTTCTTGTGAAAAAGTATTAAATAATTAAGAATGTTACACCTCTTAAACACTAACCGATGTCTATGTTTTGCTAGTGTTGATTACAATTTGTTCGTCACATCAAAAACTACATTGGAATAAATTTACAAGAATATTGGTTATTTAAACTGTTGTTGGTAGCGTATTTTTACATATTTTAAATCCGTTCGAAATGGTATATTCGCAGAACGGATTGAAACTATTTCCATATTTTTTTAAAAATGGGAAGTGTGCACGGAGAACGGCGAAATGATTAAACAACTTCATCCAGATAGCAACTGTCACTCATACGTATTAAAACTAGTTAAAACATTTCATTTAACGGGATCACCAGCTGTATAAAAAGGGAGTGTGAAAAATGTGTTATGACTGAAGCGGCAGAAGTAGCAATTTTAGGCCATGTTAATTTAGAACCTACTTCAAATACTAAAAAATAACTCTTTCCGCAGAGTATTAAAACATTACCAATTTGATCCCTACAAAATACACTTGGCAGAGGAAATAAATGAAGATAATCCAGACAGGCGCCTACAGTTTTGTGAGATTATGACAAAGTAAATAAAAATGTAATCCAAACTTTTTATTAATATTTATTTTTTGGATGTTTTTTTTTTTCTAAACGGTATAAATCAAAACAATTGCCGTTATCGGGCTGATAAAGATCCTACAGTTTTCCACAAAACACATATCAAATAACCATTGAAATAATTAAAGAATGCACAGGAATTTATGGGATGTATGGTTGAGCCATTCGTTTTGTAATAAAATTTGAACGGAGAACCATATCTAGAATTATTAGAGGACATCATTGCTCCCATTGTCTTCTTTTTCTTCATTTTATGTAGATATGACTCTGTTTTTCAATGTGCCTCCAGTAAGTTGTCGTTAAATCGTTTTCGTGGTCTTCGTACTGACCGTCTTCCTATTGGGGAACCGTCTCTTGCCGTCTTTACTACTCTATTTGATGTCATTCGGCTTATATAATCTTATATGAGCTTATATGAAAATAATAACAAATACTCAGAATATGATTTGTTTTTTTCAATAAGATGGCTCATCGCATTATAGCATAAACGTAGGGCGGTACCTTAATGAACGAAGTTTGGATTGAAAGAAAAGATTTTATTGAACCGCCAGCAAGATTTCCTGATTTAACTCCCCGGGGCTTCTTCATATGGGGATATTTAAAAAGCATTCCTTATTATTTATAATACCATTCTTCCTGTATTGGAAGAACTAAGACGGCGAGTAGTGCTTGAATGTAGTCGAGTAACTCCTTAAATGCTTTAAAAAATTTCTCCAGCAGAAAATTTTCAAATATAATAACATATCGAAAATAGGATTAATAAATAAAAATAAAGTGGCAAGCATATGTCCTATTATTATAGGTGGATTTTTATCCCTTGATATTCCTCGAGATACTCTACCTATATTTGGCTACATATATGGTTAGGGTGTCTTTATTGATTTCTATATAAAATTTACTGGCCCAATATTAAGCATTCACAGTTGTCTTATACGATTTGTTTTATCAGACTTGCCGATGAAGTTTTAACATTACCTTTGAATGGCTTCCATAGGAATTTGAATTTATTGCTGAACAATTCTTATTTCTAGTGTTTTTAGGCAACACTAGTGTCGGTTAAAATGGTAGCAACTTGAATAATTACTTACCTAAAATCGTTTTTTAGCCCATGGCCAACAAAAATAACACCAAGATCTAGTAGATACCTCAACTTCTTATAAGTTGACTTCAAGGTAGTCAAATGTTTAGAGCTAATATTTGCGTCTAGATCTCCCGGTTTAATTCCTGAAAATTTCGTTAAATAATCCACAACTTGTTCTTGGGTTGAAATATAATCATCTATAAAAGGAGTTCCCTCCATGGGCCCGCTCCTAAAAGAATAAAATAACAAGTAAAGACCAAAAGTGACAATTGGGAGCTAAATTTTTTAAACTTACTTAAATGTAAACTTTTCTATAAACAACTATAATTTTCGTGACGCTTCATATCACTAGTATATGATCCTACAACTAAGACAATCACAGATTGATAGAAAACTATATTTAGAAAATTAATAAATTTCTTTTTAGCATGTACTCCTAGCCATAATATCCAGCTACGTGCTTGCGTCATGGTTGTCATATCTTCCATGATCTACGCACTCATAATAATAAATACGTTAGCCAGATGGCAACGTCTGTGTTTATTATAAAACTTACACTGTTACTTTCAATGAACATTTAAACATGGTTTGCGCTGACTTTTAGATTTAACAGACACATTTAACCATAAAATGTTATTTTTGGGGTGCAAAATTAAGAAATCCTGTTATGTAATGCACTTAAATTACTGTTTAGTATCTTATAAAAAACAATGCTATACAGGGTGAGTCATAACTATTGGGACATAGACTAAGGACAGGTTATTTGGACCAAAATATGGCTATTGGGCCAAATATGCCTTAATAAAATGTTGCTGAGAAAAAAGATACAGGGTGTTAAAGTGGAAATTTAAAATTTTATTTTTGGCTATAACTTTCATGTTTGCAAACATTTATGTATAAAAATTTACAGCTGGGTACTATTGAATATCAGAAATTATAATTTGATGCATACTTTAATATATCTAATAGAGAGCGCCACATATGCCACATACGTGGCATACATTTACACTTAACTTTTTTGTTCTTCAAGTTACCGGTATTCTTGATAAAAAATATTAAAGATACGTTATTTTACCAAAAAAATGGTATACTTGTTAATAACTTCAAAACTCAACAGTTTTCGAGATAATCGCATTTTACAAATCAACTGCATGATTCTGATTTAACACAATTACTCCAGGCAATGAAAGAAAAATAGATAAAAACATCAATACTTCTGAATTTTGTTATTAAATACCTTTAATAAAGTCAATATTTAACGAAATATTAAATAAAATAAATATATCAGCAGGATAATTAATAATAGGATTTGATAAAATAACAGAATAATTGGATTTTACATCAAACATTTTACCTTTTGTATTAAATTAAAGTCATAATCAAAACATTTTATTTACAAACCAAATTAAATAATAGTTAAACTAAATAACATTAAACTTTTTGTCAAAGTAAGTGTTCGATATGTCCACCATTTTCTTTAATTCATTTGTCAATACATTCCATAAAATATCGTCTCATATTAAATAGCATCATTGGTTCTAAAGAAACTGCTGCAGTATTTATTATAGTTGTTTTAAGTATAATAATAAGTAATTTTTTGAAATTTTTATGCATTAAATAGTTATTATTATCTCACCACAAGAATATGACTGCCACGAACAATCCAACGTTCAGGAAAGTGTATTTAAACACTGTCTTACTCCGCTTTCTCTGTAATGTAATGGTGTACCATCTTGTAGAAACCACATATTTCGCCTTAAGTTTGATGACAATTCTTTCAATAAATCAATAAAATCATTTTATAAAAAATGTACATAAATCTCAACATTTAAATTAAAAGGTAATTCGCATATCTGTAAAATATCGTTCAAAATTCATATTTACAATGCATGTCGTATGGTTTGGAACCATTGATAATTATTTTTTTCGGATATGCGAATTACCTTGCAATTTGAATGTCGAGATTTATTTACATTTTTTATAAAATGATTTTATTGATTTATTGGAAGAATTGTTATCAAACTTAAGGCGAAATATGTGGTTTCTACAAGATGGTACACCATTACATTACAGAGAAAGCGGAGTGAGACAGTATTTAAATACACTTTCCTGAACGTTGGATTGTTCGTGGTAGTCATATTCTTGTGGTGAGATAATAATAATTATTTAATTATTATTATCTCACTATTAATAAAATTTCAAAAAATTACTTATTATACTTAAAACAACTATAATAAATACTGCAGCAGTTTCTTTAGAACCAATGATGCTATTTAATATGAGACGATATTTTATGGAATGTATTGACAAATGAATTAAAGAAAATGGTGGACATATCGAACACTTACTTTGACAAAAAGTTTAATGTTATTTAGTTTAACTATTTTTTAATTTGGTTTGTAAATAAAATGTTTTGATTTTGACTTTAATTTAATACAAAACGTAAAATGTTTGATGTAAAATCCAATTATTCTGTTATTTTATCAAATCCTATTATTAATTATCCTGCTGATATATTTATTTTATTTAATATTTCGTTAAATATTGACTTTATTAAAGGTATTTAATAACAAAATTCAGAAGTATTGATGTTTTTATCTATTTTTCTTTCATTGCCTGGAGTAATTGCGTTAAATCAGAATTATGCAGTTGATTTGTCAAATGCGATTATCTCGAAAACTGTTGAGTTTTGAAGTTATTAACAAGTATACCTTTTTTTTGGTAAAATAACGTATCTTTAATATTTTTTATCAAGAATACCGGTAACTTGAAGAACAAAAAAGTTAAGTGTAAATGTATGCCACGTATGTGGCATATGTAGCGCCCTCTATTAGATATATTAAAGTATGCATCAAATTATAATTTCTGATATTCAATAGTACCCAGCTGTAAATTTTTATACATAAATGTTTACAAACATGAAAGTTATAGCCAAAAATAAAATTTTAAATTTCCACTTTAACACCCTGTATCTTTTTTCTCAGCAACATTTTATTAAGGCATATTTGGCCCAATAGCCATATTTTGGTCCAAATAACCTATCCTTAGTCTATGTCCCAATAGTTATGACTCACCCTGTATTAATACTAAGAATTAACTTTTATGCAATACTATGGTGATAAACTGTTCAATCAGACTTTGACAATGGTATATTCCCGTTTCTTTCATGAGTTTTGGTACAAATAAATCTGCGAGTGATGACTGATACGCATAAATATCATGTACTTTTTCCAAATCAGAAAAAGGATCTAAATTTTAATTTTAACAAAGCCATAATATCCACTTACCCCCGAATGCAAGTAATTCGGGCTACAGACATTTGAGAAGGTTTGATAGTTGACATCTTTCCATCACTTCTTAATTCAGCTTCCTCCTGGTTTAGTGTTACGAATTCCGCATCCATTGCAACCAAATCTCCTGGCTTCAAAGTTTCGTTGTCGTGCAGAGGTGTAAACGAGTTCAGTCTCGGATTTCCAGAACCTGCAACAGATGTATCTTCTGATAGTACTTCCTAAAAACCAAAAAAATGTATAAATATAGGTGATTTTAGTCGTGGAACAAGTTTTATATAATGATAGGTTCGAATAGGTTGCAAAATAAAATAAAAGTATAGTGAATTGATGTATAAATCCTACACTGTCATCCAGTTAGATTTAATATCAAGTAATAAAATATATTTTGGACCAATATCAGAAAAACTATATATGGCATAAGGCGATTAAAGACTACCAAAGCGCCGCAGACACTAAAACGCACACAATTCTATATAGTGGGAAGGAACAAGGAAGCAAAGAATGTGGAGTTGCATTTGTGGTGAAAGAATGAAAGGTGTAATTCGTGACAAAATCTAAAAGATATCTATCTTAATATAATATATATTGAGATAAAAGACAACATTTCAGGTGTAGACAACAAAACAAAAGGTGTAAATTTTTACTGTTAAATTGAAAATGTGGAAACGTTTCGAGCTGGGAATTTCTACGTTCACATTTTTAATTTAACAGTCAAAATGTTACCCTTTTGTTTTCACTTTTTAGTGGTTATATATCCCTTGTGGATCATTTTAAAATTTTAAAATAATAATAAAAATTTTATACCATTTTACAAATATATTTTTTTTAAACTATGGTATATAGGAAGCCACTGGGAATTTTCCTTTTAAATTTTAAAGTTAGAAAAACTTAAACCTTAGAAAACCATTGAAATAAACACCCCTTATGGACAGATAGCTACGGAAACTTTACATTTTAAGTTAAACTTAAAAATAATTTACCACCTTTAGATTAAACATGTGTCAACACGTCATACATTTTGACCAAGAGTCAATGGTAGAATAGTGTTTTGCGGAAAATCCATTGCCAAATAAAAAATATCTATATATTTACCAAAACAATTATCAGATACTGCTTTTCTTCGTATTTCTGACAAATACAACTGTTGATATAAAAAATCGTTCCGACCTTTTAAACAGCTTATTTGAGGTTATGTTATTTAAGATTAAATTTTCCAAAATTAGTTTTCTGAACAAAATAGTCTCTATTTTTAAATACATAAATATTTATTTGGTTTCATTTGAAACAAGAAGTACTGCTCCTTATGCAGAATTCTTTCCCCTCCATTAAAAATGTTTTATGCGGATAAGATTTATATTTCCAATCTAATCATACTTAAATTTGATTGTTAATTAAAAACTTTAAAAAATTTTTGACCATTTATTTATAATATACAGTGGCTCACAGCTTAAATGATGCTACTCAATAAAACTAGCTTGTGTCAGTGGCTCAATATTTATAAAAAAATACATACTGAATTTAAATTACTATGTCTTCTAAAATAGTATGAACTATTTTTTGGGTTTCAAATATACCACACTTAAATAACAATAAATATTAAATTATTTAATGTATGATTTTGATGTCATAGCTAAAATGATGCAGATAAGATGAAGCATTACACAACTTATCAATTTGAAATTTTCGAAATAGTCGTTGCATTACATTATTTTTATGTTTGATTTGACATGTACACTACATCGCCGTACTACGATTAGTGAAAGAAATTTAATTATTACTCTCCACAGAAATGGATATAGGGGAAGAGGGATATCGAAAATGGTAAATAAATGTTCATCAACAGTTCAGCACATTATTGAACATTACCGAAATGAAAGTAGAGTTCAAAATAAATTAAGGTTAGCTCCAAATAAGATTTTTACACAACGTGAGGAAAGATAGATTGTCAGAGAAATGGCAAATATTTCTATAAAAAAGTGCACCAAAATTGCGGTATGAGGTGGAAAGACAGTTTGGAAAAAAAATGTAACCCCGAAACAATTAGATGGATATTACGAAAGAATAACCTACATGGTCGAACTGCTAGAACCTTTTATTAGCCAAAGAAATAGGTGTATTCGATTGGTGTTTGCCAGGAAGCATATCAATAAGGATTTGAACTTTTGGAATTCAGTAATATTTGCTGATGAAACCAAAATAAACTTGTTAGGTAAAAAACATGAAAGCTACGGTAAAGCACGGTGGAGGTGGAGTGATGATATGGATATGCATGTCGTCTGCAGGAGTAGGTAACATGCATTTTATTTTATTCAAGGGAATATTAACCAATACATATATTTGGATATACTAAGATAGCATCTCGCCGCTAGTGCTCAAAAATTAGGTATCAATAATAATTACCGGTTTTATTAAGCCAACGATCCAAAATCGGGTTCGCCCTTGGTTGCTTTATAATTGCCGAAATGTCATTAAACCGCTCAGTCACCATATTGATGTTATGGAATTTGTGGTTGATATTAAAAAATAAAGTAAATAGTGCCCCAATATCAAATAGAACTAAATTCTTCTTCTTCTTCTTTTTATGTAGACATGACTCTGTTTTTCAATGTGCCTCCAGTAAGTTGCCGTTCCATCGTTTTCGTGGTCTTCCTACTGATCGTCTTCCTATTGGGGAACCGTCTCTTACCGTCTTTACTACTCTATTTGTTGTCATTCAGTTGATATACCCGTTCCATTCTATTCTTCTATTTCTTTTCCAGTTCTTGATGTTCTCCACCTTGCATCTACGTCGTATATCTGTACTTCTAGCTCTGTCCCATAGTGTCTTACCATCAATTTTTCTGTTTTCATCTCTGTTGTTTCTAACATCCTTTTTGTCCTTTCTGTCAAGTTTTGTTTCTGCCACGTATGTCATTATTGGTCTGAAGACTGTTTTGTAAATTTTGCCTTTCGTTTCTTTCCCGATATTTTTATTTCTCCATATTGTTTCATTTAGGTAGCCTGCGGCTCTGTTTGCTCTATTCACTTGATCTTCCACTTTAGTTTCAAGTTTTCCGTAGCTAGATAATGTGATGCCTAGATATTTAAACTCCTCACTTGTTCTATTATCTGACCTTTCAGCTTCCAATTTACATCTTAGTAAATTTGCTGTTGTAACCATGCATTTTGTCTTTTTTGGGAAATTAACATGTTAAATTTTCTGGCTGTTATATTAAATTGGTGCAGCATACCTTGTAAATCATCTTCACTTTGAGAGAGTAGTATTGCATCGTCTGCATAGCAGATTATTTTAAGTTGTTTTTCTCCTATCCTTTTTTAGTTCTTACTTTTTTTATTATTTCATCCATAATCAGGTTGAACAATAGATGACTCAGGAAATCTCCCTGTCTTTTCCCATTGCCAGCTTCAATAGGGTCGGTTAGTTCTTCTACTTTTACTTTTGTGTTGTTCTGGTAGATATTTTCGATCGCTTTGATTATTCTTAGAGGTATCTCTCTTGCGTACAGTAAGTGGATAACGTCTTTGATTTGACCCGGTCAAATGCCTTCTTAAGGTCCACGAAACATAGATATGCCGGTTTGTTGTATTCTAATTATTTCTCTTGCACTTGACTTATTATAAATATAGCGTCGGTGATCTTCTCGATCTAAAACCTTGTTGTCCTTCTGCTAGTGTTATAATTTCATTCAGTTTATTTTTATTGTTAATTTTAGTGTTGTGTTTAATAAATTAATTCCTCTGTAGTTTTCCGGGTCTAATTTGTGTCCCTTTTTGAAGAGAGGTATTAGGATGTTTGATCTGCATTCATGAGAAATTCTGTTTTGTTCATTATTTTTTGGATTAGTCTTAATAGTTGTTTGATCAGATCTGGTCCGCTGTACTTTAGGAGTTCTTTCGGTATTATGTCCTCTCCTGGTGATTTTCTATTTTTTAATTTCCTTAATGCTTCCTTTACCTCTTTCTCCACAATATTTATTTCCTTGTTTGTCGTCACCTCTGGTGTTGGTGGTTCATTATCGTCACCTTTAGCAAATAGGGATCGAAAGTAGTCTACCAATGTTTCCTTCTGAAAGTGTTTCGTTTTTATTAGTTCGTTCATCTCTTTTCTTTGCCTTCTGGTCATTCTTTCTCCATATTTCTTTTTGTGTTCCGCAGAAGTCATGTTTCATCTGTTTTGAGAAACTATGCCAGTGTTCCCTTTTTATTTGTCTAACTAAAGTATTCGTTTCATTTCTGTCTTCTAGAACTAAATTGAAAGTAAAAATTACTGAAGCTTGGGACACAGTTTCCCCAGAGTACACTAGAACGTTGGTCGAATCAATGCCTAGACGGCTACATGCTGTAATTAAAAATGACGGAGACCCTACAAAATATTAGCAATCATTTTTCAATGCGTCGAGTTTGTTTTCCTTATTATTTTTTTTGTTTTAAAGTTTGCATCATTTTAGCTGTGTATCAAAATCCCACATAAAATATTTATTGTTATTTAAGTATGGTACATTTGAAGCCCAAAAATAGCTTATGCTATTTTAGAAGAGTATAATATATAGTACTTTATTTAATTTCAGTATATTTTTTCTAATAAATATTGAGCCACTGACACAAGCTAGTTTTATAGAGTAGCGACTGCATCATTTTAGCTGTGAGTCACTGTATTATTCAAAGATACATTCTTCAACAATTTAATGACAATATCTGTATTTCTCTGAAGAACGATTTCAATATATCTCCAAAATTGTCTTGTATCAATCTGATAACTTATTACAAAAAGACATCTAAATTCACCACATGTGGCATGTAGTATTTAGTGTAGTGTATTTAGTGTAATATTAGCGTTTTTATAGATATTTTTATTTTCTTAGATAAAAATATGAGATTTTTTAAATCAACTTAGTATTAGGTAAAAGAAATAAGAATAAGACTTACTCACAATCTAGATTTTACCTATTTATTTTACCTATTTGAAATGGACTCACATAGGCAACATATTCAAGATTTTAACTCAGTATTATCTTTCATACAAATTCATTTTTTATATTTTTCAGTAGTATTCCAAACAAAAAAGAAACTTACTCTTGGCAGCTGCTGCTTGACTTCAAGCTTATTTTTCATAGCTTCCCTTGACGTATAAAACAGTACACATGGAACCTTCCAGTCCAGACTAAACCAAGTAGCTTCATGAGGAGACACAGGACTGATGCTAAAATCGTTAAATAAGTACCATCTTGGATTTGACTCATTATCTTTTTCTTTTAAATACGAATCAGGTACTCGAATTAAAGCCACCAGATTTCGTTTGTCCGGTGCAGATTGGTCGTTTATATAACAGACGACAGCAGTAAGATCGTATTTCTTTTGGGTTTCGGAATCTTCTGTAGTCATCTAAAATGAAAAAAACAACAACAAATTAACTAAATATAAATAACAAAGTAAAAAGGTATAATTCCAGTGGTTGGCTGTATACCATAATTTAAAACAACACATAGAAGTAAAAACTTCTTGTATATAATGGTATATTTTATTAAAAATCATAAATATAACAATAAATATAATTTTTTTAATAAAATATACCATTACAAGTTTTTTTAATATAAATACACTAATGGACAAAATTATCGGATATTTTTTGTTATAATTATTACTATATGGGTGCCATCACACGTGGGAATCAAGGGAAACGAAGCAGTGGACCAACTTGCGAATGAAGCTGCACTAGATGAAAGCATCCCTGTGTCACACATGATAACAAGAAACGACCATAAAATCTCCATTAAAAAATTACTTAGTTATGATCACTTCGTTCACAACGTTGAGTGGGAGTGGTAAGGTGGTGCCGACTATTTCTATAACATCTTTATCAGTTACACTGCCATATTACCAATTTATGGCAGTGTAACTGGAATTCCACATCCAACAAATTAAAAGATGTTATAGAAATAATCACCTTACTACTCCCACTCAAAGGTTGTGAATAAGTGATAATAACTCGACTACGATTAGGACATACTATACCAACCCATATTCACTTAATAAATAAAGAAGCCATCCCTTTCTGCCACAACTGCAAGATCCAAATCACTGTGAAACATATTCTGTTAGAATGCAAAACATACACCCAAGAAAGAAGAAAAAATAACCTCTCTACCAACATGAAGGATCTACTAAGCTGCCAGTTCAACCAAGTGCTGAAATATTTGAAAGACATTAAATTTTACAGTGTTTAATAGAATATATTGTAAGTTATACATATATAAATTGTAAGAAATTAAATACTTGTAATTTGTGTTTGTACCCCCTGCTAATAACTCTTAGTAGTTGATGCAGGGTCATTTTTGTTTAAATAAAAAAAAATTATTACTAGAAAATGGTCTGCAATTATTGAAGTAACGTGATTGAGCTGATGGTATTCATGTAGTAGGTAGTTCAGTTGTCTTGAAAATATATTTTGACATTTTATTTATAATAATGCATTGCATCTATGGTTGTTCGTGCATGTTACGGTAAAAAATCCTAACTTGGTTTAAGAATTACAGTTACTTGTTACTGGCCATAAAATGAAGTAAGTGATAGTTATTCGTATTAACATCTCCTCTTTTTAAAACAATAGTATGGCCAATAGATGTGGAAGGATATAAAATAAACAAAAAGAGACTATATTCGGAAAGGTTCATTTACAGTATACAATATTCTAAAACGTGAAACTGGAAATTTCAAATGAGGGGTCAGCTGAGAGTTCAAAGGTTGCATAACAGCAATTGATGACCGTTTTTTGATTCTTAGTTCTATCTGAAAACGCACATCGAAAGCCACACATCTCAAAAACTGCTAAATGTAACATATAAGTTGGTGTTCCTTCGAAACTGGTCAGACAAAGATTAAAAGGGGTAGGTTTAGACCAAGGTGACCTCATAAAGTTTCTCATCTTCTCCAAAATCATAAGGCTCATCGATTCCATTTAGACGTATCGCTCTTAACTAGATAGTATAATACTGTTACGACAGTTCCGTGAGATTTATTCCATATAGAAAAAGTCCTTTGACGAAAAAGAAGAGTAATAGGGAGAGAAGAAGCGTATAGAGGTGAAGGAGAAGCTCAGACAAGAAGAGGAGGAGCAGAAGGAGGGGCGTAGGAAAGTAGAGATAGAAATCATAAATAGTTTATGGCAACTTCACGAAATTTTAAGTTAGAGTTAAGTCAAATTACTAGCAGAATAGACAAATTATAAGAAAAAGAGAACGATTTTGAAAACAAAATAGAACAACACCAAAATGATTTAAATTCTAATTTAGAAAGACAAATAGTTCAGTTAGAAAGAAAAATTAATACCAAAGCTTCTTTATCTAATAATGTTTCAGTAACCAATGTCGTATCAGAACGAATAGCTTCATCACCTTCCATATTCTAAGCAGGCACAAATAGAACTAGCAAAATTTTAAAAGCACCCGCATTCGATGGTCAAACAGCATGAGATACTTATCGTTTACAATTCGAATGGTCTCGCTTCGAGGACAGGCAGCAACCACCAATTTCTTCCCCAGGAAGCTCCCAGTTATACTTCTCTCGTTGACGCATTAGAGACAAGATATGGCCAGCAGCATCTAAAGCAGGTTTTCTAAAGTCAGCTGAAAGTTCGATACCAAAAACATAACGAATGCGTGCAAGAATTTGAAGCCGACATTAAAAGATTATTGCAGGATGTCAAGATGCAACAAGCTCTGGTTAATTGCTAACAAGCAACTTTAAAAGAAATAAAATTTAGATGAAAATGAAGAAGTCACCACCACAGATAACCAACAACCTATTTTACCTCAGGTCTTAAGCAACTTCAATGAAGTTGGGAAGGCCCGTACACCGTTCAGCAGAAAATAAACGATTTAATCTACGGCATCTTCTAGTTTTCAGCAAGAAGTACACCCAAGGTAGTTCATATCGAGAGGTTAGCTCCATACCATGGAACTGATCCACTCTGTTGGATTCAATCGGTCCATGATAGACCAGTTATTCGAGGATAATAACTATAAAGGAGGGAGTAGTGTTACGACAGTTCCGGAAGATTTATTCCATATAGAGAAAGTCCCTAGACGAAAAAGAAGTATTACAGAAATGAGAAAATGAGAAAAGGCAACAAATATTTGATTTCACGCAAACAAATCCTATGTATCTCTTGATACGTATTTCGACCTAATAGGTCTCGTCAGAATAGCTATTCATAGGGGTTCTCAACGTGAAAAATCAATATTTTCTGCCTTTTAAGAAGCAACAATAACATGGCTTCAATACGGACGCACTAGCGACATCTAATTAAACAATCTTAAAATAGTTTCGAAACACAATTCAGATTTCTGCTTTATAATCTGAGCCTTCTAAGAATTGCAAGGCAAACAGACGTTGATAAAAGATGTTAAAAGAGACATGGGGAATCTAAAATTTGCATTCCACGACATGTCTTTTACAACTAAGCAGAAATCCTTAGCGAATTGTGCTTCTAGTACTCCCACAGAGTAAATCCGAATAAAATGAGAAAAGGCAGCAAATATTTGATTTCACGCAAACAAATCCTATGTATCTCTTGATACGTATTTCGACCTGATAGGTCTCGTCAGAAGAGCTATTCACATTGGTTCTCAACGTGAAAAATCAATATTTTCTGCCTTTTAAGAAGCAACAATAACGCTTCAATACGGACGCACTAGCGACATCTAATTAAACAATCGTAAAATAGTTTCGAAACACAATTCAGATTTCTGCTTTATAATCTGAGCCTTCTAAGAATTGCAAGGCAAACAGACGTTGATAAAAGATGTTAAAAGAGACATGGGGAATCTAAAATTTGCATTCCACGACATGTCTTTTACAACTAAGCAGAAATCCTTAGATTTTTCACGTTGAGAACCCCTATGAATAGCTCTTCTGACGAGACCTATTAGGTCGAAATACGTATCAAGAGATACATAGGATTTGTTTGCGTGAAATCAAATATTTGCTGCCTTTTCTCATTTTATTCGGATTTACTCCGTGGGAGTACTAGAAGCACAATTCGCTTTTCAGCAAATATTTGATTTCACGCAAACAAATCCTATGTATCTCTTGATGCGTATTTCGACCTAATAGGTCTCGTCAGAAGAGCTATTCATAGGGGTTCTCAACGTGAAAAATCTAAGGATTTCTGCTTAGTTGTAAAAGACATGTCGTGGAATGCAAATTTTAGATTCCCCATGTCTCTTTTAACATCTTTTATCAACGTCTGTTTGCCTTGCAATTCTTAGAAGGCTCAGATTATAAAGCAGAAATCTGAATTGTGTTTCGAAACTATTTTACGATTGTTTAATTAGATGTCGCTAGTGCGTCCGTATTGAAGCGTTATTGTTGCTTCTTAAAAGGCAGAAAATATTGATTTTTCACGTTGAGAACCAATGTGAATAGCTCTTCTGACGAGACCTATCAGGTCGAAATACGTATCAAGAGATACATAGGATTTGTTTGCGTGAAATCAAATATTTGCTGCCTTTTCTCATTTTATTCGGATTTACTCTGTGGGAGTACTAGAAGCACAATTCGCTAAGGATTTCTGCTTAGTTGTAAAAGACATGTCGTGGAATGCAAATTTTAGATTCCCCATGTCTCTTTTAACATCTTTTATCAACGTCTGTTTGCCTTGCAATTCTTAGAAGGTTCAGATTATAAAGCAGAAATCTGAATTGTGTTTCGGAACTATTTTACGATTATTACAGAAATCTACAATTTTCGAGGAGTATTTGAAAAATCCCGAAATGTTTAGTAATGTCTGGAATGTCAGAAAATGTATATAAACAGAAAGTTGACAGTATAAAAACAGTAAAAACAGAGTACAAAAGTAAACAACTTTTTTTCAAGAACGTCATTCAAACAATATTTATTAGTATCGGATATAATTGCTCCGAATGACTTCACTATAAGAAGTTAATGATTTAGAAATCTACATATTCATATGTATGCACTATATTATTGTTGTTTGATATAACGAGATCGGCTTATAACGAGGTAATTAGTCTGTCATACCATTTCTCGTTATAGAGAGAGTCTACTCTATTTGAGTTTTTAAACTATATAGTTGTCATTGAGTTAAAGTTGTATTAAGTATTGGTGTTCAAATAAAGTTATTTTAAAGCAGTGTTACAATATTATAACTAGGCTGAAACAGAGAAGCATAGTAAATTATTATTTTTAATAAGATAACGCTCTAATCCGATACCATGCAACTGTAGTTTTGGATAAATACGTTATTATTAATACACGGTACCCCAAAATTAACGCATAATTTTAAAAACCATGGTAAATCAAATAATTTTAATGTTTCGATTTTTGTGCTAATATATTATTGTTACCCCCGATATATTGTAAAACTTATCGAAAGAACGGTAAAAAACGCTGATGTTTTTACCATTTCTTGCAAAAAAAATTATTAAAAACATGCTAATTGTGCTTTATTTTATTTCGAATTTAGTTGGGTTGGGTTACGTCGTGCTGAACGTTTAAAGGGGTTTTTCAAGTTTATTAAGTGTTTTTTCTTTGAAATGAACCACCAGCAGCAAGAAAATCGAAATTTGTCAGAAAGTAACTGTTTTGGAATCGTTACCGGAAGTCAACCAATTCAAGAGTGTTAACACGTTTTTCTGTTACTGGAAGTAACTCGAGAAGACCCGGTCAAGGATGTAGAAGGGTTACAACTCCTAATCAAGACCGGTTTTTGACATTTCGTACATTGAGACAAAGGTTTGTTAACAGTACTTCTCTACAAAATGAATTTTTGGATCGTTATAACTTTAGAATCAGCCAAAATACGATAAGAAGAAGACTTGCCAAAAACGACCTATACTCTGGAAGGGCACCAATTGGCCCATTATTGACCAGAGACCATAGAAGGCAAAGATTGCATTTTGCTCGTGAACATGTTGATTGGAATAATGACGTTTGGGGAAGAATATTTTTCACCGATGAATCCAGGTACCCTCGTTTGTCTGATGATAGGAGAAACCGAGTGTATAGAAGGCCTGGGGAACGCTATGCACAGTTTAACACCGTAGGGACTGTACAGTATGGCGGCAGCTCGGTAATGGTGTGGGGTGTTGTGAGGGATAATGGCTCGGTAATAGATCGCGGTCGGCTTACATCGCAGAGGTATATAACAGACATTTTAGAAGAGCATGTCTTGCCATTTGCACCATTTATTAGGGATAATGTCATTCTTATGCAAGATAATGCCAGGCCACACACGGTAAGAATTGTGCAGCAGTATCGTAAGGAGGTTGAAATTCCTGCCATGGATTGGCCTGCGAGAAGTCCTGACCTCAACCCAATAGAACATGTTTGCATCATAGACAAACGACTACGACAACTACCACAGTACCAAACACATTAGATGAACTGTTTTTGCGGTTGGTTGAAATTTGGGATCAAATTGATCAAGAAGAAATCAGAACGATTATTCTCAGTATGAGAGATCGTTGTCCAGTAATAAATGCCAGAGGAGGCAATACCCGATATTAGTACACAGTACTAGTATTTTCTTCAACTTTAAAAATTTCAATTTCGTCATTAATTTATAATAGTTTGTTTAGATCAGTTGTATGTTTATATGTTCAGATTTATGATGTTATATTGTTAATTTTAATACATTTTTTGTAAAAAAAGAAAAGTTTTTTATTTAAGATGTTCTAAAACAACCATAAAGCAGAAAAGAACAAACAAAAATTTTTTCATTACAACTCAAAATAAGAATTTTAAAATTATGCATTAATTTTGGAGCGCAGTGTATTTACACTTAATTAATAAATGATACTGTTATAAAACTAATCCACCACTTTTTTAACTACATATTTTTACTACAATATATGACTTAGTACCTTGCATAACAAAGTATCCTTTGTTGTGTACTTTGTAATTTTACTAATAAGTTTTGTTACAGAGAGCAAGCGCTGTAAATACTACACAACCTTCTCAGGTCTTTTTTAGTGTGGTGAATAGTACTACAACCCAAAAAGGTATTCAAAAATCCAACTTACCTCGTCATCTTCTTCAATTTTTTTATTTCCAAGTCTTCTGTTTTTATCGCCAATTCAAATCGGTGCGGCAACCAATTATTACTACAATATGGGTTTTTCGAAGGAGGGATGGGCACGGCATTATCAAAACTGTGTCTAAACCTAAAAAATATATGTTTTTATGAATAATGAATTGTTTTTCTGATTGTAAAAACTTAACTAACACGATATTTGAATTGACTTAACATATACTTGCAGTAGGATAGACGCAAAATTATTTAAATATACATTAAAATATAATATAAAGTGATGTCCGTTTATTATTCACAAATAAAATTGCTAGTTTTATTCCAAATTGTTATCCAAATTTCTAGGTTTCAATGCCTCTTATTAGTTCTTATTAGAACCAAGAGATCATCAGAAAAGAACCACTCCAATACTTTTGTATACAGGATAATGCCGTTAAGGTATGCAGGAAGTTTTTTACTGGGTCTTTTCAGGGATTAAGTCGTGTCTTACAAAAAATGAGATAATATAAGCCATCTGGTTTTGCTGAAAGAGGTTCTCATGTTCCGGTAAATAAAATATCTGATGACACACTGAATTTAGTTCGAGAACACATATTATTTTTTCCAACTTATCAGTCACACTATTCACGACACGAGAATTTAAATAGGAAATAGCCTCTGATTTAACTGTGACTGATATGTACCATTTATATTTGAAATACGCATTGGTAAAAGTAAACCTGTAAGCGAATCCATATATCGCAGAACTCTTAGTTCGGAATTTTCACGTTCCTACTGACGATGTAACAGTTTTAAGAACAAACTACCTTACGTTGAAGACGAATAACAGCGTAATTTAAAAGGAATCAAGAACTACATTTAAGGAAAATCAAAGCTGCTGGCACTGCCTAGGCAGCAGATGCAGATGATGCTAATCTGGAAAATGGCCCAAGTGTTTTTTGTTTCCATTTTATATGGAAAAGTCTTTACCTTTTTCCAGAATTTAAGTACAAAGTGTAAAACATTATAAAAGGAATATGTACTTATAAAATCTATGTATTTATGAGCTAAACACTACACAGGGACATATGTACACCTATGATGCGACCACTGCATCCCGTGGGTCTCAAGCAATCAGTTCATGATTTACAAAACACTTACGCAAAGCAAAAATTAACACAAGTCGATTATTCGCCCAATTATTCATATGACAGTGAAACATGGACTCTCAACCAGCGGGAAATCAATAAGCTTGTAGTATTTGAGAGAAAGGTTCTCAGAATAATATTTGGCCCTCAAAGAGACGAATTCACAGGGGATTGGAGAAGACATCGCAATGCTGAATTGGTGACTCTGTATGGAACTGAAGACATAGTTAGACATATCAAGGCAAACCGAATAAAATGGGCAGGTCACGTGGTACGATCAGAGGATGACAGAGTGTTAAAGACAGTGTTTTTTGAAAGACCAGATGGTAGAAGATCAGTAGGCCGACCGAGAAAAAGATGGAAAAGAAGCCGATTTATCTAGAATTGGGTACAACAATGGTAAATAGAAGCGCAAGATCGCAGAGGATGGAGGGCGATAGTGGATGCGGCGAAGACTGAGTTAGAAAGCAATACGAGATTAGCAAAGCACGAGATGAATGTAATTATGTACAGTGATACTTGCACTGGGCAGAACTGCAACTTGAATTTCGCTCTAGTCATGCACGGGTTAACACAAAATGGTACTGCTTGTAATATTATTGATTTAAAGTATATATAGATATTAATGGTCACTCATATATACCCAACGATACGGACTTTGGGTCAATCGAATCATATGTACGAAAAAAATGCAGATCATTTTTTCGCCTGACGTATAGAACGATGCTACATTGGAATAAAATAGCAATATGCTTTATTGGCACTGAAAATTGTACAATTTTGCAATGGTCGCAAAACCTTACGAACTAATAAGTTTAAGATGCTGCATGTGATACCCAAATATATATAAATAATTTAGTTGATTGTACCTAAACGTACTGTAGTTTCTAAGTTATTCGTTAGGAAACTCTTCCACTGAATAATATGGTATTTGAGATAGATAGGCTTTTGTCAATTTACGAAACTTAAGAAAAGAAGTTATAGATTTAAATTGCAAAGGGAGATGGCTGTATAATTTTTTTGTGGAATATAATATAATTTCTTTAATAACTCAGTGGACGGGATAGTCATGATTAAGTCTTGGTGGAAAACATGCACGTATTTACGAATTAAGCAAACATTTTCGAAAATATATAAAGACGGAAGAGTTAAAATCCCGTGATTTTTGAAGTAGCTTCTGCAATGTGTTATTCTACTCAGGCCAAAAAGATACTATATTGCACTTTTTGTAATTTAATAGTAATAGCATCAGATTGGGCAGCTGTACTAGAAACCCAAAAAGGAAGTCCATATCGAAGATGAGACTGGAACAAAGACAAATATGTTATTTTGGAAGATGCTAAATTGATTTTCTTTTAACAGATCTTATTGCATAGCAGTTTCTTACTTAACAAATCGATATGAAGGAATCAATGATACTGATCTGGCTGTTATTAAGAATCAAGGGTTGAAGAGTTCCTTTATAGGATAATGCTACTGTTTTATCCAGTTTAAAAGAGAGTAAATTAAAGTGCAGACGGAAAAACCCATTTTATGTAATAAAAATGTGCCAAGAAGATTTCTATTTTAGTAAAGAGCTAACTGATACTGTCTCTAAAAGATCAATAAATAAATGAGGTGGCAATTTTTTGGCTAAAAACACATTGGATAAGATTTATGAGAGAAGAACCTTATAAAGTCTTTTAAACTTCGCTGAAAAAAAAAAAGAAAAAACGCAATGGAGATCAAGTGTCTATTGAAATGTTTGAGCAAAAATAATTATATACTGCCCCACAACCAGTAATTAAACATAAAATAAGGATATGTTGCATCATACTTTTTACCAACAACCCATTACATCAGAAACAATTGAGGATATAGAATTTATAAAAGATGTCCTTTGTCAAGAAGATGAAAATAATGACTAACTGGCCAGTTAACGATTATCCCGTTATCGATTTATCCATTTTAATGAATTCATTTTCTGTCGAAGTAATACTTATTTGTATTACTTCTATGATGCGTTCGCTTAAAAGTCTGTCTGAAAGAGCAGGATTAAAGATAAACTTTGAGAAAACTAAACTTAGAACAAATCTCGTAATGAGTGAAATATAACTATTGACAACAATACCATACAACAAACAGACACTTACAAATATCTGGGACACGAAATCAAAATAAGCAGAGACAATCAAATACATGAAATACAGAGGCGAATAGGCCTAACATGGGCAGCATTTGGCAAATTAAGCCATATTCTAAAAAGTTCAATTCCCATGTGTCTCAAGCGAAAGGTTTATAATCAATGTGTTTTACCTTTACAAACTTATGGAGCAGAGACTTTAACACTTACGCAAAAATCTGCGAATAAACTCAGAGTTACACAACGAACCATGGAACGTGCAATGCTGAACGTGAGCCTTCGAGACCACATAACAAACCAACAAATCAGGCAAAGATCAGGAGTTCAAGACGTCATCGAAAGAACCACGACGCTTAAGTGGAACTGGGCAGTGCACTTAGCTAGAACACAAGATGGACGGTGGACAAGACGTATTATGGAATGGAGGCCCAGAAACTATAAAAGAAGCCGAGGACGACCACCGACTGGATGGACCGATGATATAAAACGTGTAGTGGGAAACTGGCTACAAGCGGCCCAGTGTAGAGAACACTGGAAAGAACTGAGGGAAGCCTATGTCCATGGCTGATTGATGAATACTTATTTAAACCAAGATATTTTTATTGCTATTTTACAGGTTTTCGTGACAGCGTATAAGTATTTTAAATTAGAGGCAAGGTGAGATTAGTATTTCTTTAAAGAAAGTGGTTTTGAATCAGACTTAAGATTATTTGTTCCAAATGTATTGTTATGTCACTTGTTTTGAAACCCTAAATCTCCGTGTAGGGTAACTTACTTTCAAATAATGTCCATTAGACCCCGAGTATTATACTTTTTTGAAATCAGCTCATTTTTATCGATCTAAAAATGTCATAAAATATAGGGTGTTACATTAAAAAAAAAGAGCCGATGACGTCATCACCTTAATGTGTTTCACCTTTTATAATGAAATTTTGTGGTAGAATGTAGAACATTAAACTTAAAAATCGTCGTGTTTTAGATCGATTTAAAAATGCTTTTCATTTAGGAAATATCGAATTCATTCCATACTTTACGGACACACTGTATAGAAGAAACACATAACACAAGTTTTAAGCAGGAAGAATAAAAAACTAATAATATATAATGCAAAGTAAATGTATAAAGTTAAGTAATACAAACCGACATCCTGGTCTTGAACACAAATCTCCATATCTACACGGTTTCGATGATCCTAAAACTGAAGTAGGTGTAGATGATCTGTTGTTAACTTCTATGGTGGAAACTTTCGCCACGACTTTATCCATCTGAGTTTGCCAAAACTGTTTGTGTTGTGCATTGTGTAGACCTGTGTTAACAGAGAGTACATTTGGAAGCGCCTAAAAATAAAATAGCAATTGTTATCATTAATAATTTGTTTCCAGAAGAGTTTTCTGCCAACTTAAACTTGTATAGGACAGTCTATATAACCGGTATATAATTGGTAAAGTAAACTAAATAAGTCCATGATATCTTTCAGGACAGACCATTAATTAAAGTCCGTCTTTAAAAATTGGAAATCGAGTAAGTAAATCTTAAGAAATTATTAGATTTGTCTAAAACAACTATTCACAAGGTAGAATCTAGTGTGGCTTACCTGAAGAACTCTGGATTGAGATGTAGGCAAAAATTTTGAACAGTTTTCACACCAAGCTGGTGTTGTTTGTTTTGGGCACAGAGATCTTTTTAAAATATCACAAAAACTCCATTCATCTTTATCTCCCATATGAGACGGATATACAAGATTACAGGCTAATAAGAAAGATTCTTTCCTTACCTAAAAATACAATTAAATATTTGAGTATGTAATAGTAATAATAATATTTCAAATATATGTATATTTGAAAACAAAATAAACCACATTTTATAGTACAATTCGACCAAAGAGACTGATACTTTATAAATGGTTTTGCTCGTTGGTGAAACTAGTGTAAGGAGGAGATAGGTCTCCTTGTTTCGTTACCAAGACGATATTGTCGTTACTAATACGCTTTTATTTTAGTGTTGTTAACTATTTGAATAGTTGTTAACATATTCTATATTAATTATATTGTAATTTAATATTTGCTTTTAATTTAAGAGAAATGGCTGATGAATTCGGGTACCACTAAAAGTCTATTAGAGCTTGATTTTAATATTAACATATTGCTACCTCTTTATACAAGAAACAGAGATAGAAAGTCGGAGAAAGAGAGAGAAACTATTTGTTTAATGTAATAATGAATACCTCATTATTTCATAATGTGTATAAAAGTCATGATATATTGTAAGTTATAATAAAACACAAAATTATAACACAATATTAATTAAAACACAATATACCGCATATAATTAAACTACAAAAAGTAAATAGTTTAATTTAAAACATTGCAACAATTTTAGCGGAATATTTATTATAACTGGTTATTAACAAGCACTATAAACTTTATAACCCACAGGGAAAGATCTACGAACTGCGTAATGCAGGAAGCCCATAGAAAAGAAATTAACACTGTGGAGGATTATATGCTGCGCCATATAATATATATACTAGCGGACCAACTCGACATCGAGTTTTGATGTAAGTTTTGCTGATATTTAAGAGGGGCGGAGTCCGTCGCCTGGTGTAAATGTTCCAAAAATCCTAAAAATAAACTGTATCGACGCCAATTTTTTTAAATTGAAAATCGATACAGTAGTTTTTTAGGATTTTCAGGAAGATTTACATTAGGAAACGGAAACAATATGATTGTTAGACTCCGCCCCTCTTAAATAAAAAACGGAAGTAAAACCGGAAGTAACTTTTTTTTGCATATTTTAGTATTGATTGTAAAATGCCACGTTTAAGAAAAATAACTCGGTTTGAGAACTCGCGGCCCCGTCCATATGCTCTGGAACACCGTGAAAGAAACCATAATTTTCAAAACTAAATCCGGAAGTAGGGAAGTAAATACTTCCGGTTTCATAATTCTGAATTCAATCAGTAAGTATAAGAAAAAAGTAGACGCGGTCATATTTTAAAAATACATTGAAAATTAGGACTGTAAATTTTGAAGAATGAAACCTGTAAAATTCCTATACTTTAGTATAGGAAAAATTCATTTTATGGCCGCCATTTTTAAACCGGTTCGAATTTTTTAAATTTGAAACCTTAGGGGGAATCTACTCAACAATCTGTTTAATTATTCGAAAAAATTATTCTTCTATCTATCACCGTTTAGGAGGAGTATTGCGCACAAGAAAAGGGCTTAGCCTTTTAGTATATAAGATATATATATATATATATATATATATATATATATATATATATATATATATATATATATATATATATATATAGTCAACATTTCCTTCGTCCACTTCCTAACTAACTCGCCCACACGCACTAGCCAAGCGTGGCCTTTTAATGGCTTAAAACCCCAAAAGTTATTTTCCATGAAAGACAAAACTACTGAACGGCTCTCAGTCTCCTACGGCTCCAACGCCCCCAATCAAGGTAGCGGTTGGAACAGGTTTGGAGCAGAGGGTGCTAAGAATCTCCAGAAAAAATCAGGATACTATAAAGAGCGACAAATGCATATTACTTCATACAATGTTAAAACTCGATGTTCTAGATAACTGGTTAGACTAACCTGGATACTGGGAACAGTTTGGTTTAACAATAAACATAAAGAAAACAAAAACCATGGTTATCAGTAAGAGGGGCAAAGTCATTACAAGGATCCAGATAAAAAATGAAGATATTGAGCAAGTGGACAAAATGAAATACTTAGGCGTCTGGATTACGGAAGATCTGAATCCAAAATCAGAAATTCTCTCGAGAATAGAGCAATCAAGAGCAGCCTTTTTAAAGATGAGGAAGTTTCTGAGTAACGAAAGACTTAATTTGCAAATCCGATATCGGATGGTAAAATGTTATATCCACTCTATTCTTATTTATGGTGTCAAAGCCTGGAC